TGACATAGCCATTGTGTGCTTAGAGATCATATTCACTAGAATTGTGGTAGGTGGCTTGCATTTTTAGTAGGCTAGCGTGACACTCGCTTCGCCATTTAATTGTCTAACATCTTTGATAAGTGTTGTTATAGAAATTTTTAATAGGCTATTTACCCCCTCTTGCCATTAGGACCTTTCACCCGGCATGGGTGCCCCCTGGCAGCGGCCACTCGGTGCGTCTGCATGGCCGCGTCAATCTGTGTTTGCTTCTCCAGGTATGCCCACTGTTTCTCTTCCCTTCCTACTGTGCCCTTTATCTTCCCTTCCTGCTGTGTGAAATCGAGCACCCACCCTACCTTAAGTCTCGTAGTGGAGTAAAATCCTAAATGAAAGGTGGCTGGTTCTCACCCGTTATTGCATTGGTAAGTTTGTCTTGTGCCTCTTGGTTAGTATACTTAATTAGCTCAATAATAGATTGTGAAAGGTGCTTTGCCCTTGTGCATTGATAAGAATAGATTGTGATGATGCTTCAGGGTAGAATGTGTAGGTTACTAAATAACCTCTCATTCTAAATGAAAAAACAATTATCTGTTGTCCTTTTTGATTGATTGCTCTATGACTACCTTTTAGTAATTTGGGGCTAAAGCAAAATAAGGTCCAGCTTTTGAAAATAGGGACGTGGTGGAAGGTTTCTCACTAGCAAAGTGAAAATCTTGAAATGAAGCTTGTGTGCTTCCGTGCTCTAATTGTATTTTGATGCTGCTTCTGCTTGCACTTAATTAGGATTGTAGAGTAATTGAAAAGGTTCTACCAAGTACGCATACTCTGTATATATCTTTCAGCTTTGGTTCTTATCCAATTTTTATTGCACTTTCTGTACATTAGTTTTCTAGCTCAATGTCTACACCTTGCACATTTCAATACTTGAAATCTTCTCCCTTAGAATACTGGTTTAACCCCACAAAACCCATTAGCTCCTGAAATAGAAGCCGCATCCACGTCACCTGGAATTCTCTTCTCCGTTGGATCTCCCCATCCGATGGCTGTGGTAGCTCCCAGAATTCTGGTAGAAGTGGCATCTTGCTGTACTGTTCACCACCATCGGCTTTTCCTCCCATCCTGCCTCACTTCTCTTGCTTCTCGTCAGAATCCAGCAAAGCAAATATATACCCACCTTCAGCTTCTGCTTCTGCTTCACGAAGCTTCTCTTCCCCTCCCGCCTCTCCTCTTCGTTCCCTCTCTATCTCTCCTCCTCTCTCCTGATGACGGCGGGGATGGGATGATGGCACGAGCTGATCTGCCGATCACCGGCACTTGGCGCGGTGGAGCCCGCCCTCCTCCTCCTCCACGCTCCTCCCCCCTCACGCCGTAGGGGCATGGTGACGGCGACCCCTGCCGGGTGCTGTGTCGGTGCAGGAGGTGTTCAACCGGCACCATTCCAAGTTGCGTAATATCATAGAAAGGAATGCAGGAGGTGTTCAACCGGCACCATTCCAAGTTGCGTAATATCATAGAAAGGACATTTGGGGCAACAAAAGCTAAGTGGCAGATGTTGAAAGGCGTACCTCACTATCCGGGGACCAAACAAACACAGATAATTATTGCTCTTTGTGCACTACACAACTACGTGCATGAGATGGAGGGACAACACCAACCAGGGAGGTACAGGCAGGCACCAGACCTTGGGCCTTTGAGTCAAGTGGCAGCTATGGCGTTAAGTGACCCTAATGATATGGAACAGGTCCGCGACTGGATTACATATGGACTTGGATTCCCTAGGAAGACAACGTAAGTGAAACATTTATGGTATTGGTAGAAATCAGTGCAGTCATGCAAATTTCCATTGGCCACCTACTTTGGGGTTAATGAGGATGTGTACACATGCAGGTGAAGGATGTGTCGACATGGTGCACGGGGAGCAAAGGATGGCTGCAAGAAGATGACTGTGATCGGTTTATGCTTCTTGCTATTGATATGTTGTAATGTGGAGCTAATTCGTGAGGACCGCTAATGAAATGTGGACTGGGCAACTGTGTAGAAGAAGCCTGTACATGGAAAACTTCTTCTACCAGTTTATATGCCTCCTGGGGGCGACAACTTTTGTAAAAGTGCCCAATGATGCAATTTGAATGATATAAGGACTAGAAAATATTTGTAGAGTTGGGATCTTAATCTAATTGTATTGGAGTCGTGTTGTAATGAATTGTTGTATTGAACTGTTGTATGAACATGTGATCGATGTAAGGGTTGTCCATGGATGGTGTTTGGTGCTGGTGTTTGAATTCAATTTGATTGGCGCCATATTTTGAATTTAAATGGAGCTGCTGCAGTGAGGGCTGAGCCAGCTGGTTTTGGCTGCTTGTGGTCACTGTTCCAGTTTCAGCCAGCAGCCAAAAACCTCCGGCCGAACGGGGCCTTTGAAGTGAGCACGCAACGGCGCACGCCCCTACACTAGTATATATCATTGAAGTATATAATAGCTACACGGAGGGAAAGGATCACGACGCGTACGCATGGAATGCAAGAGCCTCTCCCACTCTTCTAAGTCCTATTTTAAGGTGTGCTTTGGGACTGCTCCATAAACATTGCTTCACAAATTCCACTGTGGAGCAGCTCAAAATAATGGAGTTTGTGGAATACCTCTTTAAATGCTCTCATAACTCTATCTTTTTTTTTGTAACAGAGTGTGTGGAGTTGAGATCGTTTAACGAGTAAAAAAAACATAGCGGAGTAAAAAAAACATAGAGCGGAGTAGTTCTGAACACACCTTAAACACGTGCTAGCAGGCACAACCCAACTGCAACTCCGTACCAAAATCAGTTTAAACGCTAGTAGTATATTTGCGGACTCGTCGTTTTACGCGTGCGAAATGTCCTTAGCACCGTCGTCGTGGCCTCCTTGTGTGTAGTACTTGCAGCTAGGAAGACGTTCAAATCGGCGGCAGGATACGATTGCAGGAAGACACAGGAACCACAACAGCAAACCGCCCATCATTGAACGCGCTCGCGCCCTCTCTGGCTCTCTGCCCCCGCACGCTGGCCGCTACCGTCCAGCGATCTGACGTGACGTGACGAGCATCCTATACCGCACCAGTAGTTGTACATCGGCGCGGATTGACGGCACCGATCGCACCGCGGCCCGCACCTGCTGCCTCTGCCTGCCGCCTGACGCCCGCCTGCCGCCTGCCGTCCTGCCCCAGCCCGGCGTCTGCACGGACGCTCTGGTGCTGAAATTATTACTGGTGGCGGGTTCGATCGTGAGTCAGAGAAAAATATGGTTCTGATTGAAAATTAAATTTATGATCGTTTACGATCAAATGAACAGGCTACGTGCGGCTGTGCGGGTGCCGTCGTCCACCACCCACTCCCAGTACTGAGTCGTACACCGGTACCAGACGTTTCCGCCCGGCCGGGCTTCCGGCGGCTTCCCTACCCAGCCGGCTGTCTGATCGATACAGCATGTTCGATTGGCTGATTCGTATCGTTGCTGATTCATTTATATAAGAGAAGTACTGCTGGCTGGTTCATGTAAATAGTATCCATGTGAGGGGCTGGCCAGCCAGCCAGCCCCAGCCGATCGGGCTGACTCGGCCCCGCCCGTCGCCCGCTCGCTGGATCACGTAGTCGCCTGCCTGCATTTCCGTTCCACTAACGCGACAAAGTAGTCCACGGCGTGTTGCTTTGCGCGCGGGCCTGGGCGCTGTGGGTTTTTTATCTCGAATACGCATTGCATATCGTTATATTAAAAAGGTACTCCCTCCATCCCAAATTGTAAGTCATTCCAAGAATCTTGGAGAGTCAAACTTTTTCAAGTTTGACTAAAATTATAGAGAGAAACACAAAGATTGATGACATTAAATAGATATAATATGAAAATATAACTAATGAAGAATCTAATGATACTTAGTTGGTATGATAAATATTATTATTTTGTTATATAAATTTGGTCAAACTTGAAAAACGTTGACTCTCCAAGATTCTTAGAATGACTTACAATTTGGGATGGAGGGAGGACCAGTTTGAAATAAGACCGTTTCCGGCCCGACAGTTGGGCGCTGTGGGTTTTCCTCGCTCGTGGCCCGCCACCGCCAGGCCTACACGTTCGTACGCACCCCGGCCGGCCTTCCCCTGGCTTGGCCCCCCGCCCGCCGAGTAAAAACGGGGGACTTGGTGGGTGGGAACAAGGGATTAGATCATTGGACCCGGCCGGACCGGAGGCGGTACAGAGGGGCAGAGAGGGAAAGGCCGGGCAGGGACCTTATCAGCAGCGCCACCCCCATCCCTCGCCGTCCCCCTCCACCCTCTCGCCCTCGCCCTGCCTTTAATTCGGGGCCGCCGCGCACGCCGCACGCTATCCCGTCTCGCTCCTGCCTCCCACCACGCGCGTCTAGACCCTTCTTCTTCTCGATCCCTCCTACATACTAGTTCGTCCTGCGCCTATATAAATGCACAGCCTCTCCTTGCCTGCCCCCTCTCGCTTGCAGCCTGCTTGTGCCTTTCACGGGGAGGGTTCTTCGGTGCTTCTCGTCTTAGGAGCGAGGCGGCCGACAGAGTTGCTCAAGCTAGAACGAAGCTTGTGCAGCACAGCGTCGTCGAGGAGAAGATAGCTCGCTTCTGCCGGAGGTAAAGAACAAGCTAGCTAGATTAGTCTTTCCCTGTTGGTGCATCTGCAATTCCATCATCACTAGAGTCCTGTCAAGACTCAAGACAAGTCAAAAGGTTCAGAATAGCGGAAAGGAAAAGATCTCTCATTTCGTGCTAAGCTGCTGCTCTTCTCGGTTTCGCGCTTTCTGATGCACTGTGGCATGCAAATTAAGCTGCTTTATAAGTAAGAGGCGAATGCTTGCTGCCGTGTCCAGGTCCAGGCAGGTCTAGCCGTGGTGCAGCGGTGCTGGTGGCGGCGACTGGAGCTGGCGAGGTAAGGGAACGAAGCTGCTGCAAGCGACGCGAGGAGCGCGCCCGATCCACCAGACCGTGAAGCTGGCGGCCGGCAAGTGGTGGGAGCGGCCAGATGACACGGCCATGCCCGGAATGGACCCGGGCGGGGGCGGCAGCTCGCGCTACTTCCACCAGCTGCTCCGGCCGCAGCAGCAGCAGCAGCCCTCGCCGCTGTCGCCCAATTCCCACGTCAAGATGGAGCACCACAAGATGTCTCCGGACAAGAGCCCCGGCGGCGGCGAGGCCGAGGCGGACGGGAGCGGGAGCGGCGGCGGCGGCGGCGGCGGTGACCAGCCGTCCTCGTCGGCCATGGTCCTAGTCGAGGGTGGCAGCGGCGGGGGAGGCAGCGGGACGGGCACGCCCACGCGGCGGCCGCGGGGCCGCCCGCCGGGCTCTAAGAACAAGCCCAAGCCGCCCATCATCGTGACGCGCGACAGCCCCAACGCGCTGCACTCGCACGTCCTCGAGGTCGCGGCTGGCGCCGATGTCGTCGACTGCGTCGCGGAGTACGCGCGCCGCCGGGGCCGCGGCGTGTGCGTGCTCAGCGGCGGGGGCGCCGTCGTCAACGTGGCGCTCAGGCAGCCCGGCGCGTCGCCGCCCGGGAGCATGGTGGCAACGCTGAGGGGCCGCTTCGAGATCCTCTCCCTCACCGGCACGGTGCTGCTGCCGCCCGCTCCCCCGGCGCCAGCGGCCCTCACGGTGTTCCTCTCCGGCGGCCAGGGCCAGGTCATCGGCGGGAGCGTGGTGGGCCCGCTGGTCGCCGCGGGGCCCGTCGTCCTGATGGCCGCGTCGTTCGCGAACGCCGTGTACGAGCGGCTCCCGCTGGAGGGGGAAGAAGAGGAGACAGCGGCGGCTGCCGCCGGGGCCGAACCACAAGATCAAGTCGCGCAGTCGGCTGGACCCCCAGGTCAGCAGCCGACGGCGTCTCAGTCCTCTGGTGTGACCGGAGGAGGCGACGCCGGCGGTGGCGGCATGTCGCTCTACAACCTCGCTGGGAATGTAGGGGCCTACCAGCTACCGGGAGACAACTTTGGAGGCTGGAGTGGAGGCGGTGGCGGCGGAGTCCGGCCACCGTTTTGATCCATGCCTTGACACACCCGATTCGCATCCTCATCACAAAGATTCAAATGGTGCCGGCAAGCTCTTGCCATCCTAGCTAAACCGGGAGCTGAAGCTAGGCTTAATGGAGCTGAGCCCGAGACATGTATATGCATGCTGGATTATTGTTCATAGGAGAGACCTTTCATCTGGGCGCTATAGTATAATGCATGCGTTTACGCATGAAGATGCTGCATTGAAAATCATGAGGTGTTTTAAGATGGTAGTGATGATTAATCAAGGACAAGAGGAAGCTAGAGATTCGATGCACGCAAGAGCTAGTTCAATAAAGTAAAGGTCAGTGAGATCCGATGTTTTGTGTTTCCAGCTTTTCTTTTCTTTTTTCATTTGTATTGTGTTATTATATTCTGATTGTATCTCTTGCTGTAGAATGATGTTTCTATTATAAACCATTTGCTTATCTTCCCCTACAATCGCTGTACCCATGCATTACAACAACTCTTTCATGGTCGCTTTCACATATATGTTTTCATTTTTCTCACACAATAATTTTTAGTCAAATATTGAAAGGTTCAACCTAGTCAATGTTTCATGTTTCAAGCTAGCGTTACTTGGGTCAAATATGTTAGCTTATTGCAATATCTGAAACGTCGGCAAGTAGGTCTAGACTACAGATATCTTGTGCATGTGTTTGGACTTTGGACATTATTGTGCTTTCCTCAAGATTCAAGAATGAGGCCTGCCTCAGTCCATGTAGTTCTTCCTTCCTTCCTTTCTCCTATGAGTTACTGTATGACGAAGAGCACAGGGTAGTATGAGTACTGGTTTTTGTGTACTTGGTTGGCAGGACCGCAGGATGCGAGGTCCAGGAGAGGGACCATGTGTGTTTAGCTGGGGAGATGAAATTTTTTGGGTGTCACATCGGATATGTCGGAATGATGTTGGGAGAGGTTTTTGGATACTAATAAGAAAATAAATTACAGAACCCATCAGAAAACTGCGAGACGAATCTAATGATACTAATTAATCGGTCATTAGCACATGGGATGTTACTGTAGCATTTAAGGCTTTTCATGGACTAATTAGGCTTAAAAGATTCGTCTCACGATTTTGCCAAGAACTGTGCAATTAGTTTTTTTTTTTACATTTAGTACTCCAAACATGCTCTTTTACTGTAGAAGACAAAAAAAAAATTAGAAACTAAACAGGGCCCAAAAGCCTTGTCTGTCCCTCTCTGTCTATTTGTTTCACCTGCTGCATTTTTTAATGGCCTCTGGAGTCATGTGTCTGAGATACACGTAGGAGTATGTAGAGCCAGAAGACGATGGCTAGCTGTGGCCTGTGGCATGTGGGTAGAGGTGCAAAGAAGTGGCCCCGCATTGCCGCTGCAGCACTCCACTGTATCACAAACCTGCAATGGGGGACACTGACCATAAGACGCCAAGACCAAAGTTGACGCTGCAGGAAGCAGAACTAGCGAACAATATGCATGCGACGTAGGATCCTGCTGCATCTGCATCTTGCACCCTCCAAGTACAAATGCACAATTCTGGAAAGGGGGGTCCGTTCCCTGCAGCCCTGGCCCTTAAATGGAAAAAGGGGAGGAAGCTTTCGCTTTTGCATAATTTGTGGGCGCGATGAAAAGCATCCAGCTTTGGAACTTGCTCATGGCTTTGTAAACTTTTGTCGTTGGAGAGATGCCACTGCGCCTGGCTAGACCTGGTCAAGGTGCTCTCTCTCTCTCTCTCTCTCTCTCTCCATGCATGTCCACTTGTCGACCCGCTGCACTTCAGATGAGGTGTATTTTTTTTAGCAGATTCAGACGAGGTGTACTGCTCTTGCTCCAAGATGCACATTTTCTAGCTAGTTTCTCTATCATAAGTATTTGTCTTAATAAGATCTCCTAAACATATGACAAACTGTATTTTAATTGAATTGGTGTCTGTTGGTTAATTTTGAACTTAATTTGCCAATAATATGGTCCTTCATGAAGTTATGTTGCCTTTCTTGTGATATTAGTATATCAGTTGAAATTTAACCCAATATAAAACTCATTGACTATAATGTATTTGCTGCAAATAATGATCAGTTTTTTCCAGTAGTATCCTTATTATATTAGATGCTTCTCTGTCAAAATTGACATCAAATAGCATAAAGTGATAATATTTAAATTGAACTGAAGGTTTACATGCTGACTAGGAAAATACATGATAAAATGCTTGCGCCGCATGAAAATATATATTAACCTGGCCTTGTGGTTTGTTGGCTGCGGTCGTCATGCGAATCTGGTTTGACGCTATATATATACCTACAACAATTGATAAACTATATATTTTGCTTATCTCAATTTCTATAACAAGGGTATAATTTAGCATAAAATATAAAGTGAAACATTAGTATATATAAGAAGTTGTCATGTACTACATACAATATTAAAGGACTTTACTCCCATTACTCCACAGCTGTGTCAACTTGGTCTCTTGAACTTTTTTTTGTCTCACATTATGCCTCGAGGTTCAAACCGGTAAAGTACAACCCGCAGATAATCACATTTTTCATTTTTTTTTTTGCTTCTCCTTCTACAAGTTTACTTAATTTGAAACTACGTGCTGGATGGTATTGTGCTACAAAACAATAAGAATTTTCTCTGATCTATTTGCATAAGTTATGATATGTATATTTTAGCAATTAAGGCCGCTGTTAAGCGGACGGAGAGATGTTTTTTAACAAAAATAGATGCTTCTGCATTCATTTAACGTGTATATTAAACTTTATATATATATATATATATATATATATATATATATATATATATATATATATATATATATATATATATATATATATGTGTGTGTGTGTGTGTGTGTGTGCATGCTTTTAATTTTTATGCTAATATATCGTTGCTGCCCCAGTTGATATACATATTCCGGTCAAAGTTACTTGTCATATTTGATAATATAAGTGTAAGGTCTTCAATTCAATTCATATCTTTTACCACTAACTTTTATAGGATATATTCTTTAAATGCTTAAAGCTTATGAATGTTGCAAGTATTTTTTTCAATCCAGTTTTACACATATAAGTTTCTAGACTAATTAAACAATCTAAAAGTATTGATGTTTGTAACTTATAAGGTTTGACTAAATCGTGCTCTAAATGACACATTTTTATATATTGGGGTAGTATTTCTTTACCACACACTTAATGCTAGAGATAGCTGTGTATATACATGCCACTATACTCTGAACTTGCAGCATTGAACTCACACTGACATACTTGTGGATCTCTAGAAATTTGTTAAATATATCTAACTGTGATAGAGAGAACACATAATATGTTTGAAATTAGGCCTTGTCAATGTTAGTTTTATAAGAGTTTCATTCTCATTAATTGAGATGGAACATTTGCTAAACTACTAACATAGCAAGAATATGTGCAGATAGGGAATGAGTTTCATGTAGATGAAACATGGTTTACAAATTTAGGGTCCATTTGGTATAGCTCTAGCTCTGGGATCCAGGTTGGATAGATTAAGTTAAAGTGGTTTAGAAATTTATATCTAGTCTAAACTATAGACAAATTAAAATGAATCATCTAAAGGCTCTCAAATGTATCTATAGCTCTAGATATAGGATTTTCTGGAGCTATAGATACCTAGCTCCAAAACATCTATGGATTTCTAGGAGCTGGAACTCCATCAAATAGAGCCTTTCACTACGCCTTAGAAATGAATAAAACCCTAATGTGACAAAATCATTTTGTGCTATGCTTTGGAAATGGAATGGGAACCTATTGTGACCAGGTTGTTTCATCCGATGCCTTGGAAACAAAAATGAAACCCAATTGTGAACAAATCGATGCACAACGTAGTGCAATAATTAAATTCTATGGCTACTATAGGCCCCGTTCGCTTCACTGAAAAAACAAGCCAAAACACTGTTCTGGCTGATTTATTGTGAGAGAAAAACATTGTTCCGGATGAAAAAACAAGCTGAAAAAGACGGATTATAAGAGAAGCGAACAGGGCCATATGAAATCCCAAATGAAAGCGTGCTTTGGAAATACTGTTTCGTTCATCTATTGTTGGTGTCTCTTATTTGGCAACAATGAATTTGGCGTGTGTGACAAGAGAAACTAGATGGTAGCACATGCGACACAAAGTTTTTATAGTTTCGAAGCCTTGTGAAGAGATAATACCCTATGTTCTGTGTTGGTGGATTGCATTGCTCCGTGCCTCATATGTTGTGGTGTATGATGTTGCCTGATAAGGCTCTAGGATGAGGCACTGCTACAAAAACAATTTCATGATCGATACAACTCCTTTTATTTTCAAAGGCAGACAGAAAATGCACGAATCTCTTAAATTCACTCGTGATTTTCAGAGGTTAGACTATTTGTGGAGACACTCCTGTCTCCTAAAATCAATTAACAAAGGTGGGACTCTTATGAGGTCCGCCTCTAAAAATAGGGGACATCTAGGCTCACTGCTAACTTAGAGTATATAAAACAATTGAGAAAACCCTAGCCCACTTGATGATGGCAAGATAAGATGAAGGTAGCAAGGAAATAGCTTCAAGGGACTAGGTGAAGGTGAAGGACAAGTAACAGCTGCGATACCCTAGCTAAGGTGAAGAAGCAAATACTTGTATTGATTCGAGGCACTAATCAAGCCATGAGGAGTCATACAATGTGAAGTATAAAGCACTACCACATACAAGATTTTCGCAATCGGCCAAAACAAGTTTTCGGAGGCGGGAAGTCAATTCGCCTCCGAGTTCATGCTTGTGTAAATCGAGATTTCCAGATGTTGTCGAATGCCCGTAGGAAGTATGTAGAGCCAGAAGACGATGGCTAGCTGTGGCCTGTGGCATGTGGGTAGAGGTGCAAAGAAGTGGCCCCGCATTGCCGCTGCAGCACTCCACTGTATCACAAACCTGCAATGGGGGACACTGACCATATAAGACGCCAAGACCAAAGTTGACGCTGCAGGAAGCAGAACTAGCGAACAATATACATGCGAC